AGGCTGTCCATTTCCTCAGCTGGCCATGTTTAAAGGATTTGTATACATAAATTGAACACTAAAACAGTTGTAACGTGAGCTTCCTATGGAACTATGATTCTTAATTCTGACTGTATTAGAATCACCCGGGCAGTATTTTAAAAATAGTGGCACCAAGGCTCTACCTCAGACCAAGTGAACTAGAAGGTGGGGCATAAGCCTGAAATTGTTTTTTAAGCTCTTCCTCCCTCCCCCCTCCAATTCCCCCCTTCCTTCCTTCCTTCCTTCCTTCCTTCCTTCCTTCCTTCCTTCCTTCCTTCCTTCTTAAAAACTTCCCCAGCAATTCCTGGTACACACCAGAGCTAAGAAATTGGGAGAAGAAAGCCAAGTTTTCCAACCATTTAACACTGTCTTTTTAAAATAAGATTTTAATTTTTCAGGGTGGCTTTCACAGTTGACATTTAGGTTGAGATATAATAGACTAAAGAGTACCCTCTTATGTATCAGTCAACAAATATCTTGCTCAAGGGAATGTGCTAGGAGCTGTGGGGGAATAAAAAGAAGTGGGACAAGATAAGAAGGCGTCATCTCCATGCCTTCATCATGCCTGCAAGGAGTTCACAATCCAGTTGGGGAAACAATATTGTGAGAGAAACCCAACTTTAGTTGAAGACACAGGGGCCTGTAGAGCCCAAGGACTGGGAAGTGGGTGGGCTTCAGGTACAGGTAGAACCAGGAGCTTGAAACCAGCAGGAATACCTTTTCTCTTTCTCTGCACGGCAGATAGCAGGGCTACTGACAACTGTCACATGCTGCAACTTAAGCTTTAGTCACCTGGAGAGACATTGGCTGACTTTAAGTTTCAAGTTCATACCCAGGGGAAGGGATTCACATTCACCTCTAGACTTATGAACCATATTTATTAGGTTGAGGGAGTTGGGCTCACGGAAGAAAAGAGCACCTCCCTTTGAAATCAGGTAAAGGATAGTAGTTTTCTGGACAGTAGGTGTCCTAGTCACCCCAAAAGTGTGGAATAAGGGGTTTTCTGAGCAGACAAAACAAACGTCCACTACACTTGCATAGCAAGACAAAGATGTTATAGGACAGCCCTGGAGAACAATGTTGTTCAGAAATAATGATCAAGAGATGGTACAGAGTATTGCTGTACCCCACTCGAAGAAAGCTGGATCTTTGGAGCAGCCTCTTTGCAGACAGGATCTGCGTATACATTTATGTCTCCCACCAAATGTGTGGTATGTGGGGTGGGGGGTGGTCGGACAAAATGAGGCAGTGCTTGTAAGGTGCTTAGCACAGAGAGTCACCGCCTACCCCACACCCCAACCAGAGGCAAGCATGGAGAGTTTGGTTTTATCTATGGTATTTGAAGGGCACCTAAGTGGATTATATCTAATATGCAGTCTGAAATGTGCTGATGTCTTTAACTCTTGTTTTTTAATATTTATTTTTGAGAGAGTGAGGAGGAGCTGCAGAGGGGCAGAGAGAGAGAGGGACACAGAGGATCCGAAGCAAGCTCTGCATTGTCAATGCAGAGCCCGATGCGGGGCTCGAACTCACTAACTGTGGGTTCATGACCTGAACTGAAGTTGGAGGCTTAATCGACTGAGCCACCCAGGCTCCCCATGATGTCCTTAACTCTTAAATTCCATGACAGAGAGGCTTCGAACACATATTTGCCAGTTGTTTTCACAGAGGCTCTGAAGGCTGTGTCCAGCATTTGGGAAATTTTTCAAGGATTATAGAATAATGAAATATGCTGAGAAAAGGGCTGCTGGAAACTGACAGTGTCTATTTGCTTCCTGAGCTGGGAGTAGGCTCCTTATTTCTGAGATGAAGAAAATAGAATATATTAGTTTTTCTAACCACCAGTGATTGTCTCAATGAGGTAGAAACAGGATAGTAGCTCCTGGTTGTCCTATTTGTTTCCTAGTCAATCTAATTTAAACTTTAAAATTACATGACCAATTTCTTAGATTTTTCTTAAGTAATTTCATTTTTTATCTCAATTCTGCTTAACTTCAATCAAGGATGATAATTGTGGCCAAGTACCAAAGAGCGTATGATCTTTTCCCCCATCAGTGATATGTGAGAAAACACACATGCAAACACACACGCGCGCGCACACACACACACAAACAAACAGTGCTCTTTTAAAGTAATTTGATCTCATCACTTCAATTACCTAAAATAATTCCTAAATGCTTGAAAACATGAAACTGGATGGTCTCCATCCAGTTCCTATCTCTACCAGACAGAAATATTTTTCAAGCACATTTAAAAAAATAAACTATATTAAACCCTTACTGGAAAAAAAGCCACTTCTGGACAGAGACCAAGCCAAAGCAATTTTAGTTTAAATTGGTTTTCCTGGAAAAGCTGAAAATGCAGTTCAGAAAAGAAATGCTTTGGCAACTTTACAAATCAACACTCAAAAACTAACATGATCATTCTACATGGCCTCTGCTTCAGTGGTTCTCAAATACTAGTGTAGAAAAGAATTGCCTGGGGAGCTTGTTAAAATCAGATTCCTGGGCCCAGAGAGTAGTTCTGATCCAGACCCAGGTGATACTGGTATAGGAGATTTGAAGACCATGTTCCAATTAACTCTGAAATGACAAATTTAGAGATTTATAACTTGATAGCGCTAGAATGAAGAGTTGTGTTTGCATTTATTATGTTACCTTGTCGTGTGTTTATAAATTGTGTTAATCTCAAAGCCCACTTCAGCGGACTAGTGTCATGGGACAACCTGGTTTGAGGCATAGATCCGTCACTATGTGTGTGATTTGGGGTAAGTCATTCATTGTCAATTTTCTGTAAAGTGAAGAGATTGAATGACATCAATGCTTTTTTAATTTGAGAGAGAGAGAGAGAGAGCAGGGGGTTGGGAGAGAGGGAGAATCTCAAGCAGGATCCACACTGTCAGTGCAGAGCCCAATGTGGGGCTCGAACTCATGAATCATGAGATCATGACCCGAGCCGAGATCAAGAGTCAGACTCTCAACCTACTAAGCCACCCAGACATCCCAACATCAAATGATTCTTAACCCTTTAAGATTACAGACTCCTTTGAGAAGCTAAAATAATTATTTAATCTTCTCCAGAAAAATGTACAAACACACACATACATGTTTGCACACAAATTTGGGGAAGATCTCAGTTTTCTTAAAATGCTTATAGGGACTTCCTGTGGCAATGACTCAGAGCTGGAAAATTGGTTTATCTAAACCTGTGTTTCGTAAGCCAGCCGCACTCCATCCAGATTTGTTCTTTGAGAGGGTGTGTCCCTTTACGCCCTCCACTCCTGCCCCAGGTTGGGAATCACCATCGTCATTAACATGTGCAGCACACTTACACCCTGGCTACTTGGTGAAGCTGTTTGCATAAAAATAATCATTATAAGACTCCCCCCAACCCCTTAGAGGTAGGTGACATTATTTGCATTTTCCAAATGAGGAAACTGAGATCTGAAAGGTGAAATAACTTGCCAGCAATTACAAACAGGCTCTGGCTTTTACCCCGAGCTCTTCACCTCTCTGACAGGGTTTCTCAGTCTGGGCGTTGTTGACATTTTGAGTTGGATAATTCTTTACTGTGGGGTTCTGTCCTGTGCATTGTGAGATGTTGAGCAGCATCTTTAGTCTGTACCCATTAGATGGAGTAACACCCCCTGCCCCCATTTGTGACAACCAAAAATGCTTCCAGACATTACGAAGTGGCCCCCAGATGAGAACCATGCCCTGTGGTACTGGCTGATGGCACTACCCTTAGTAGGGAGCCGCTGTTGCTGAGGCAAGGTTATGTGCGCTCTCAAGTCTGACAGGGCAGAAGAAAAGTTGGCAATCATCATTACAAGGCTTCAGGTATCCCAGGTAAAGGGCTTTAGGAAGGAAGAAACCACAGGTCGTTTCCAGTCCATGATTCCATAAATTCATAATTTCTAAAAACTCTGCTATTGTGGTTTCTTGTCATACTAAATGCTCACACGTGGTCAAATTACTCCTAAATTTGGCTGTCAAGCAACTCAGAGCTGTCGTTCCTTTGCAAAACCTCTTCTATAGTCCAAAGAGGCTCACATACTTCTCAATTGTGTTCTTTCTGAGGCACCAAGATCTGAGGAGATACAGTTGGGGTTTGAAATGGGCTTTTAGACAGTCTCAGTGCTGTCCTGAGTGAGGTTGCTCTGTGGCATGGCTCACAGCACACAGGGAAGGCATTAGGAAAGAGCAATTTTTCACTGCGGCCACTCACCCTTTGGTTTTTCCAAAGAATGTGAGAGAGTTGCTAGAGTATGTTTGGTGGATTTTGAGTACTAGGAAACTAGTATCAGTATTAAAACCGAGTACTAAGAAAAGTACACACTGGACCCTGTCAGGGGTGGGTGTGCGGCTGTATGAGCGGGGATTGTTATCAACAAGAGCTCTATTTAAAAATAATTTGGTGGCATAAAGCATGAGGATATGGTTGCATGTAGCTTTTAAAGTATTTTAGAAAAATCAGCAATGACAACACTTTGCTGCATGCCTCTGACGCTGGCTGTATCTCTTGAGAAGGTAATTGAGATTGAAATCTTGATCCCACATATCAAAGATTCTCAAGAGACCTATTCAGTCAACAAATGTTTGAGTATTTACAATGGCCCAGGCACTCTGACCAAAAAGAGAGCCTGGCCCTTGACCAGTTTACCATCTGGGGAGAGAATAACCAATCCCTCGGGAGCCTGGCCGTGGCAGCCTTATGGTCACGTGTTTCGGGGCACACAGGCTGGCCAAGCCGTCTTGGGAGTTAAGGAAGACTCCTTGCAGAAGGTGAAGTCTGAACTCAGACCCGCAAGATGAGTAGGATTTAGGTAGGCAAAAGTGGGGCCAGATGGCAAAGAGACAGCCACAGGAATGGCATGCCCTGAGTAAGTGGACATGCCTGGCAGGAGCAGGAGGAGCAGCTGAGGCCCACTCAAGGAGAGCAAGTCTACAGTCTGGCTGGAGCAGGGTTGGGGGAGGGAGATGGGGTGCAGAAGTGAGGCTGGAAGAGGCCGGGCGCTTGTTCAGAGCTACTGTGAGACCTGTGAAGACCTCAGCACTTACGGAGGCCCCATCACATGTCAATCGTATCGAACATGTGAAAATGTATCCCTGTCCCACCTTAAAGTAACTTACAAATAACGAGTTGATTTGCAGTTGACTGTTTAATAGCATATTAATTTCTATTACAAACTTTTCTTTTTTTATATTTCAGAGCCAGTAATTCTTTTTTTCAGATATTAAGCATTTTCAAAGGGTCTTGAAAAGCTGGTCTGCTCAAGGCACCGTGCTTAAAGGGCCCAAATGGTAACAGCCTTGTTTCAAACCTTCAGGTTTAAACCTGGGCAAACCTGGTAACTGGCTTCCCTCTACTGCCCACTGTCTGCTCTCTCCTTTCTTCTGTCCTCCTGGAGCGCTGGCAGGACATGTGAACACTCAGCTGGAGTGGCCTCAGCTTCTCCTGCAGCAAGCAGCTGCCCTGTGACTCAAGTGTTCACTGTTTGGGCTGTATGCAGATGTGAAATTTTCAGGTCACATCCTTAAAAAGGAAGCCAGCTGCCCTTCTTTCTTCTTTTTTCATCTCTGCCAGCTGGGATGTGGATGTGGTAATGGTGAAACAGTGTCAGCCATGTAGCCAAGGATGGCATCCTAAGGCAACGGTTCTAGAACTTTAGCAAGCATTAGAGTCTTAGGTCTGAGAGGATGCCAAGGGATAGCTGTATGACAAGGGTGTGGATGGGACTTGGATGGGCAGGCTGGAGTGTCCTGTATAAAACAAGTCCCTCTGGCTTGTGATGACAGAGCTGAGGGTAGGGAGAGAGGGGAGTGGACAGTGGGACAGAGGCAAGTTTGCCAAGTTGTCACATTCCACCAGCCTGGAACAATCTATGAATCTAAGAATTCTAAATTGAGCCCAGCTTTCCAGTTGTCATGCAAGTATGTTTGTCAAGTTAGAACAGAACATTTTATTTAACAGTTTGATAGCTTGATTGATGCTGTTAAAATATTTGGACATGTGGCCTGTGATCTTATATCTGGACTCCTGCCCTGTTGCAGGCAGGCCCGACATGAGGACCAAATGAAACAATAGACGAAAAGCTCTCAAAATAATGCCCGGTACATGTGGTGTGTATTCAGTAACATTAGCAATGATGATGCTTATGATTCTCCTGAGGACAACAGGGTCTTAGTGAAAGAATTTAAGCACAATAGTGACCTTTGCTCACTATTTCTTCCAACAAGTATTAAGGGTATACTATGTATCTGGCATTGTTCTGGGGGCTTCCAATAATACTAGTAATCAGACCAAAGCTCCTTTTTTCTTTTTCTTTTCTTTTCTTGAAGTTTATTTATTTATTTTGAGAGAGAGAAAGACTGTGGGAGGTGCAGAAAGAGAGGGAGAGAGACAGAATCTCAAGCAGAGTCTGCACTGTCAGCATAGAGCCCAATGTGGGGCTCCAACTCGTGGACCATGAGATCATGAGCTGAGCTGAAACCAAAAGTCAGATGCTTAACTGACTGAGCCACCCAGGCGCCCCAAACCTCGTACTTTCAAGGAATGTACATTATCATGGAGGGTGGGGAAAAATAAAAAAAATATTTAACACCTGTCAAATGCTGTCTTTTAGTCTTAGATCAGTTTGGTCGGAGGGAGGTAAGATTGCAAGTAGACATCAGTTAGGAGCTTGTTGGGATAATTTAGAGAAGACACGATTGTTGTCTGATACCAGGTAGTGGCAGAGTGAATAGAGATCAGTGAATACATTTAAAAAACATTAGTGTGGTAGAATAATGACACTTCGTGATTGATGGGTATAGGGAGGAAGAGGAAAAAAAAGAAGGAATCAAAAATTACAGCTAGGATTCTGACTTAGGCATCAGGATAATGGTGATGCTAGTCACTGAGACTGGAATATAGGAGAAGGAGGGACTGGTTTGGAAAGAAGATGAGGGGATCGGTTTTGGACCCTGGGGGTTTGAGACGCCCAAAGAACACACGAGTGACAATGTCCAGGAGGCAATTTTGTATACAGGAGGAACTTTAGCCAGGTGGAAACTATCTCGGGGATGAGAGCAAAAGCATTCAGAGGAAAAGGAGGTAGAAGCAGAAACCAAGCCATTCTTCCAGGAGACGGAGTGAGCTTGTGTAGGCAGCTTGAGAAGGAGATGAAGAGCAGGGGAAGTTTTTATTAGATGGTGGTGAAAGTGGCATTTTTGAAGCTGAGGGAAAGCAGCCAGTGGGAGTAGAGAGACTAGACATGTATCACAAGGATGGTTGATGGGGCAAGTTCCTGCTGGGTGCAGGAGGAAAGAAGTGGTCATGAAAATCACTTATCATTTCACCACGGGAAAAAAATGACATCATTTATATAGCCATCCATTCACTGGCTCAGTAATTATTTATTGAGTACCTTCTACATGCCAGGCACTGGTCCTGGTGGTGGGAATGAGCCAGAAAAAAACCCCTCACCCTATTTTATGTAAGTTCAGGAGCTTACAACAAAACCCAAACCAAATACAAAGAAAAACTTGGTCGTTGCCAGGCCAAGGCTAAAGAAGGCATGGTCTTGGCAGAAAGGTGAGTTACTGCAAGGTACGAGAGCCCCTCAGCAGGGATTCTGCCCGCACAAGCAACAGCTGGGACCAGGAACCTGGAATTCAAATATCGCCTTGATGTGAGAGGAAATCTTAATCTCAACAATGAGATTAGAGGAATCTCTTTGCAGAGATTCTATAAACAATTAGAGGAATCCCTTGTGGGCGTGCTGTGCTTGATGTACTCAGACTCAATAAAGACAAATGACAGCAGGCAACGGACAATGGCTAATTCTCTTCAACATCAATAAACTTGATATCTGAACCTTCAGTCCTCTGAAAAGCAAATCTCTGTTTCTTCTCTTTAACTCCCCAACTCAACTGATTCTGCTTAATTGCTGCCTGAAAGGACTAAACCCATCAAGTCGTGTTTAGCTCTAACCCCATTAGAGTTCTTAACAGTCATTAACTAATGCGGTTCTTTGAAAGGGCATGAGGAAGTCCAAGGAGGTACATCTTGTAGTCTTGCATTCGATTCTGAAATGTTCCCTTTGTGGGCAGCCTGGAAAGGACTTAATGCTGTGTGATCCAGGACTACAGCACATGTTAGGTAGGAGGTAGGCTTCCAGAACTAGGGAGGAGAAGGGTTGAATTTATGCATGGGTATTCACAGAAAGTTTGGGGGGAACAAGGTGGGGGTTGGAAGTCACTGGGTGAAAAGTTCTTATTTGACAAGATGTAAAAATGACCCATCACAAGGCCAGTTGTTGGATGCTTGGCTTAGAACTCTGGTGTCCTGAAACCCCACCTAGCATTGTTTTCCCTCATGCCAGGTTACCATATTCCATAGTCAGTTAAGTTTTCAAATAAGTAAGTTTCCCAGTGAAAAATGATCACTGGGAGGGGGGAGGGGGAAAGACGGTTGGCTTTTATGGCAAATTTCCCATGTGGAATGGCTGAATAAATGCTGCATCAAAGAAACTTCCAACATCTGACTGCAAATCTCCATCTAAGACCACAAAATAAACAGTTCTCAATAAAGGAAGAGACATCTTTGTCATTGACATTGTGGATTATTCAGGTTTCTTTGTTTCTCCCTGACACCTACTTTTACCTTATTTCATTTTTACCCTCTAACCATTTCAGTACCCAACACAAGCCAAATTCTGGAAGGGAGTTCGATGAGGAGAATAAAATAAAAATTATGATTTAAATTGAGACGTGGGGATTTTCTGTGGATAATTGTCCATGTTGCATCTTACCAAAGAAAATATGAATTTCACTTAGAATATAAAGTAATTCTCTCTGAAAGTGTGGGATGGAAGAGATCAGTCCTGAGTACTAGAAATATATTTGTCCCTCAGGAAATTCTTGCCCACCGAACGCATGAGGCTAGGATGACATATATTAGGAGCGTATTAAATTTTATTCTAACACTGATGGGAGGGAAAAAATGAAGGAAAGAAAAATGAAGCAGGGTGAAGAATAAGGTGATTGAGAGAAAAGAAAAGACAGAGAAACTTGTTAATTACAGGACTTTCTGAACAAGATTTTTTTTTCCCTTTCACAAGATAGAAGCTATTGAATAATTCATGCCAAGCGTGGAAAGGCTGCCTTTTCCCTGGGTGATGTATAAGTGAGCACGAGAGAGCTTCGTGTGGGTTCACATCAGCCACCACTCTTGCTTCTGAGCACAGGGTGCTCTCCTCTTGAGCTCAGCTTCTGCTTTTGCAGCCAAGCATCCTTCCTTCTGCTGCCTGCCTGCCCACCCTTCTGGGCTTGCAGCCTTCTCCAGCCCTGCTGCCAGCTGAGAAACCTCCCTGCAGCTGCTGGGTTCTGCCTAGGACCATGTGTGTGGATGTTGCTCGGGAGAAGCAAGCACTTGCTCCTGGCACTGATCCCAGCTGAGTTTCTCCTGTTGATTTTGGGACCACAGATGCTGCTGCTGAGGAGGTATTTCCTGGCATCCCTGCCTCCGCTACTGCCAGCTAAGGACCAGCCCAAAAGTAAGGTATCCCCCAACCCCTCTCCCCTGGCATTTTCTCCAGCTGGGATATCTCTGCTTTGCTTTCTCTTGGAAACTAGGGGCTCCATCTGGCAATATTCCCAACTCTCTCTCTCTCCCTCTGTGTGTGTGTGTGTGTGTGTGTGTGTGTGTGTGTGTGTGTGTCTGTGTGGTGTTTGGGGGAAGATGGGGAGACTCTGGGTATTGCTCTGTCCCAGGGCTTCCCTGGTTCCTGCTGAATGTAAAGAGGCCTTTCCCCTGGCACTGGAGACATTTCCGAGGCAGGCACCTGTCATCTGCCACCCCCGTTCTTCTCGAGCTCCTTCTCTCCCCCTCCCCCAGCCCATTATTCTGCTCCAGCCTTTTGTGTCGGTGGCAGAGGGCTGAAGGGATGTCTTTGCCCTCCCTGCAGGTGGGTGTCAGGATGGGCCGCGCAGTGAGAAGCTGATGCTATCAAGCGAGGTGTGAAGAGTTGGCCGGGCGGTGGCTCTCCCGCGTCACCTCCTCCACCACCGGGGGATCGCTGCTGCTGCTCTGCGAGGAAGAGGAGTCGTGGGCGGGCCGGCGCATCCCCGTGTGCTCTGTACTCGGGCCTGGCCATCGGGGGCACTGGCCAACAGCATGGTCATCTCGTGTCGTCCTTCCGAAAGCTGCACAGACCACCAGCAACGCCTTCATCGTGAACAGCTGCGCAGGACCTCCAGCGTCTGCACGCCCTGGGTCACCACAGGAGGCGGTGCTCAGGCTCCTGCCCTGCTCTGGCGGAGCCCCGCGGACTGGGACGGCGCCAGCCGGCGGCATACCGCCTGCACCGGGGAGGACTGCTAGACATCAGATCACCGTCATCCCTCTGATCCCCACTGCCTGGTGACCCTGGACCTTCTGTAACCATCGCCCCAGACCTTGCCTACCAGAGCGGCTATTGCCAGCGGCGCTGCGCGGCGGACGTGCTGGCTCTCTGGGCATCGCCTGGACATCGTGCTGCTGCTCGCCCTGGACGCCATTGATGCCGCGCTACGCGTCCCACTACTCTCTGCTTTGTGCGCCGCGGAAGCATGCTTTAAACAGACGGCGCTGCTTTCAACACCGCGCTGCTGCCTGGGCATCGTGCGCCGCGTGCGCGCGGTCGGCGATCAAGCGGATCGAATCATCAACTTCCTGCTCTTTCCCTTTTCGGCTGACTGCGCCGCCGCCATATACGCCTTCCGGACGCCCCGCGCACGCCGGACCCGGAACCGCGGCGCGGGCCAATCTCGCCCGCGCGCGCGCCGCGGCTGGCGGACGGCGTAGATATCGACGGCCTGTCGGTTAATATAGCTCTGCTGCGCGTCTTCCTGCTGACCGCGCGCAGCCCGCTGGTGTGGGTGAGCCTGGCCAGCGAAATAACGCTGCCCGTGCCCTGGGGCGTGCAGGCGGCCAGCTGGCTCCTGTGCTGCGCCCTGTCCGCGCTCAACCCGCTGCTCTACACGTGGAGGAACGAGGAGTTCCGTCGCTCGGTGCGCTCCGTCCTGCCCGGCGTCGGCGACGCGGCGGCGGCCGCCGCTGCCGCCACGGCCGTGCCCGCTGTGTCCCAGGCGCAGCTGGGCACCCGCGCCGCCGGCCAGCACTGGTGACCCGGCGGGGCCCCGAGGGAAGCGGAGATGCCGAGATGCCGACGTCAGCGTGGCCTCCTGCTCTCGTCAAGTACCCTCTGCCTGAACGAAGACTCCTGCTGGCCGAGCCCGATAAATCGGTGCGAAGATTTCGCCTTCGACCCCGGTGGGATACCTGTCGAACCAAGGTCTTTCCCTAAATGGGGTCCCCGAAGTCATTTTGAACAGCTACCTGATTTTTACCCTTTGTTTCTGTGTTTTAGGGAAATCCGAAAGTCAAAACACCGGAAACTTCAAGAACTTTCACACCGACCTTTCAAAAGAGCAGGTTAATTTATTTCAGCACTGTTTTTGAAAAAGAGATTTGATAATGTATTACCGTTCCCACCTTCATCGTCTTATAATATAGATGAAGCACCTCGAGTGTGCATGAGCCAAAGGAAATAATATTGATGAAGGAAATAATATTTAAGAAGTATTTAGGAAAGTAACCTATCTTTGATGATGCTTCTGTTATAATTTAGCCTTTGTATCAACCCGAAGAATGAGACCACAGGTATGCACACCAGTATGAGTTGCCATTAAGACCTCATGCCCTTTATTCTTAAAAGGGTTTGTTTTTATAAAGTCGCATCCTTGCCGAATGCGATAGAATCTTAGCCAGTGAGAGAAGAGAAAACAGATTTATTATTTTACACTCGTTTTTGCACTTCTAAGACTGAACATTAGCATTACCTTGCTGAAGTGAAAGTTTTCCATTGTGCTGATTGGTGGCCTGAGCCAGCAATGGAGTTTTGAAAACAAATAAGGGGGTTATCTATTTTAGGTACCAGTTTCATGTTTTTAATAGCATGCACACTTGTGGCTACCTTCATTTTGTAATCAGTTTATTCTCCTTATGAGTGTGATTGCAGCTTTGAACATTCTGTACTATAATGGTTGCTAAAGAGAATAAGTCCTTCTGTTTTCTCTTGAACATTTAAAATATCTCAATGCACATGATATAATTAAACACTAATAATACCATGACTGCACAGCTGATATTAGCTGCTATTGCATGCTCCTAGATGTTAGAACTTACTGGGCATGTGGTATACTAAAGCAATACCCTCTAGACAAGGACATTTTGCTTCTTCCAGACACCAGAAGAAGTGGCCGTCAGTTATTTGAAAAGAGACACGGAGATATGCTGGCCACCCTACAGTTCTTGTCTTGACCCACTTTATGAGAAACTCCCAGCTGGGACTTTATCTTGCAAATGGAACTACAGTCAAGATGGATCAATAATAATGGTTTTGGCTCTGCAAAGCGGTCTGTGCTCTCCTAGGGTTTAGACAAGCCACACATGAGAAAGCAACACTGTTCTTTATGTAGTTCGTATATATATTACCATTGCACTCAACATTAATATTGTGTCTGTTGAAGGAGGTGTCATAAACTCAGTTATATATAGCAAACAGTTCAAATGGGAATCTGTTTTAAAATGTAGAATTTGAGGCTTGTCATTTCTGTCTTTGGTTTACTAAATTTGCTTAGAGATAGTTGAAACACAACATCATGTGAAATCACTTTATAAAATTAAAATGGGAAAAAAAGTAACTTAAGCTAATCATGTATTAGCCTTGTGACTGCTAACTACATCAAGTATGGGGCTGAACAATCTCCATGAACTGTGCAGTTCAGAACAAAAACAGCTTGTGTTGTTGCACTCTTGAACATTATCAGGATAGTGGGAACATGCGTGCGTTTGAATAATTATGGGAGTTGCAGGAAACTTGGACATGTTTGTAGTAAAACAAAACAAATATGTTCATTACCAATAATAGATCAGCAGTCATTTTATTAATCTATCCCCTTTGTGCATGTACCATTTCTCTCTCACTACGGTTTCATCTATTCCCATTTTCCTTGATTCAAATATTTAATTAAAGTTCAGACAATGATACCTCTGAGTTTTTTCTTCTGTCTCTGGTCTTCTTGAATATCTCCTCGAGAACACCGTCACAGAGGACACTGTATTCCAAACTATCCACTAGTGATGAAAGTAACTTCTTTGTTCTGGCCTTATTTAACTTTATTTTAGTTTCTAAAATTATATCTACCTTATATAGTTAAATAGGGTCGTATGCCAGCATTAAAAAAAAATAGGTATGATTTCCTTTCTGTAAGCATAATTGAATTGGGGAATAGGTTACAATGACAACAGAGAGCTGAAGGTTTTCCTTTTTGGGGGACAGGGCTGGGGGACACTTCCCTAAATCTCTAGCAAAGAGGTCTTCTTTTAATCAGGCCTTTATTTTTGTTTCTTAATGGGGATGCTGCAAATGATTTCTCCCGCTGTTCCCCAAAGCATTTGCCACACACATAAACTTAGCTTTTCAAGTACCTGGTATCTTCCAATGTTTCTGGTTAACACTGAGAACCATCTTATGTTGGCTCAGTGCCATTTGGGAGACCTACTTTAGGTTATATTTACTGGTAATTAACTCCACAGGACTGATTCACTTTTAATTTCGAAGTAGCAATGATGTGTCTAAAAATGCCTTACTAGGGCAATCGCTGGAGTGTTGGAGTTATTGCTTTTACAAATTAAGTTAATGGAGATTGTGTTCTTATTTAAATGAAACCACATATTATCCACTCAGGAATAAAAACTAATTGCTGTTGTGGGCTGCCCTACTTTGCCTTTTCTACTTTTTTCTTTAGGTATTATGCCTGTTAAGACATATAGCACCCCCTGGTCCACCCTCCCCTAGCACTTTGATGCTAAATTCTAGGATGTCATAGGTATTACTCCTAGCACTTCTCTCCTTCCCAAATGAGGTATGTTCATAGACAATAATTTTGTCTTATACAAAGGCATTCACAGGCATTTTTTGCTGTAAACACTATAGGGCTGTAGCTCTCTGATAGAGAAAGCCCTTGGAAAGATCTTCTCACCAAGAGAATGTTGGTCCACTTCGGTCTCAGGGTTCAGTGCATCCCTCTTCTTCTGGTGACCACCATACTGGCCAACTTCACTGTGTCATGTGCAAACTTTACTCCGTTCCTCTAGGCATTCAGACAGTGCTAATCTGGCTCTTTGGCAGTCCTGGGAGATGACCTGAAAAAAGACATCAGTGGCATAAATTTAAATTCAGGAACATTGAGACAAATTGTAGATGGCACTTCCTCTCAGAAGTCTGCCCTTGATGTTTGTGGGTTGTGGGGCAAGAATGGAGATCCAGATGGGAGCTCTTGGTCTGTGGAACAAGGTGGGTCTGGGGGACTCTTTCTTTCTCCCTCTACTCTCCTCTTTAGTACTTTTAGGGACCTCACACACAGGTGAGGAGCCTCAGCCCGCAGGTCAAAGCTCTGCCCACACTCACCTCTCAAGCAACCACCTGCTCTCCTCTAGGACTTGGTGCACATACAGGCAAACAGCAAGCCCAAGAGGTGGCCTCAAGGACATTTAGGCAGGAAATTCCTGGGTTCCAGCTATCAGGGCTTGTTGAGGAGGCCCAGGCCCCAGGCAGGTAACTTTTCTTGGGACTCCTTTCCCTGTGGAAAGGAAAGTGGCCAGAGGAGGGTGGGAGCAGTTCCTTTAAAGCATGAGACCCCAGTTGGGGCCCGTGTATCTTGAGTTTAAGGTGGATACTGCCTTCACGTAGGTTCTCCTCAGGTAGCGTTTCCTAGCTCCTCCCACCTGTGGGAATTCCTTAACCAGGTGCTCCCAAACACTTAATCATATCAGCCCTAATGCAATAGGTAAGAAGGCTGTTGAGGATAGAGAGGGAAGGGTGGAGATCAGACAACGATGGGTACGTGGGATGTATTGCACAGTTGCCTTGACTTGGGTGTCTCTTTGAAAATTTTCATAATGAAAGTCGAAACAAGTAAAGCAAAACTCAAAAAAGAAGAAAGAGAGATGCAAAGAAGGAAGGAAGGGAATGAAAAAGCCAAGAAAGAGAAGTGACTAATGTCCCGAAGGTCATGTAGCAATTAAGTGGAAAAACTTTTGTCCTACTCGAGCGTGGGAAGTAACCACTGTACTGTAGGATAAAATCAGAAGTTTTTAGTCAGGTGTGGAACTCTCTCCATGATGTGACCTTTCCCTAATTTCCCCAATCTCTCGCTCTCTTGGACTTGCATCGTTTGCCTATATAGCCTCGTTGGTCCATGTTCTAAACATGGCCCATGTTCTGTGCCTTGTTCATTCAAAGACCTTCCCGGAGTGTCCTTGATCTCATCACTTACCCAGACCCCATCCTTCCTTCCAGGAAGGCTCACTTAGTTTCTACCTCTCCACCAAAGGCCTCCCCACCGCCTCTCTGCCCCCAGCAATAAGCTCTGCCTCCGCAGAATTCCTGCATGGCTTTGTTCTCACCACATAATCTTTTGTGTCATCTCTGGTAATGTGTGTGTCTTCAAAACTAGGAAAATTTTTTGCTTTATTTTTTATTCCTTCAATTGTTTTTATTTTATTTTATTATTATTATTTTTAATATATGAAATTTATTGTCAAATTGGTTTCCATACAACACCCAGTGCTCATCCCAAAAG